TTCAGGGATTGTAAACTTCAAAAGAGGCTTTGATTCTGTAGGAAGGTGCCATGGGGTTGGGAGAGAGACAAATGCCAGCCATACCTAGAAGTAGAATCTTTGATGTGGTGAAAAAATGTGAAATTGTTCACTACAGATTAGTAAGGAAGCACAAGTAAGCCCATGCTTACCTTGTTTATTGGATAATCCACCTCTGCAGCAGGGGCTCAGGAAATACTTGTCTAATGAAGAGATGACACCTGCTCAGGTGGGCAGGCCTAGATAGAAACCAGCATAGCTGCAGATACACCCTCTCACACACACTTGCACTGATGCACATCCCTGCCCACACACTGCACCTGCCACACACACACACACACACACACACACACACGTGCATGAACCTATGGAGGTGCTTGTGGATAGATCCAGATGCACAAGCCCACACTAACCTGCATGGATCATGGACATGAGCAAACTTGGCTATAGCTATATGCATAGACAGATGCTGGGGTGAGCACCCACTCGGTACAGTACATGCAGTCCCCAAGATGCACAGATGTTCATCCCAACCCCACTTCTTTTGTCCTGCAAGCCTTTGGGGGCTTAGGGGCTGCAGAGCCTTCTCTTCTCACCCTCAAATCCTCATCATTGTGTGACCCTTGATGAGGAATCTATTATATTTTTGTTAGGGTTCCACCTTCCCCCACTCTTCCCACCCAGCATCTCTGCACTGTTTTGTCCTTTATCTTATCAGTCCTGGCTGCCAGGATCTCATCCTGGATTTCCTTGTGGGAGAACACTGGGAAGAAAGAGTTCTTCCTGTCTTGGAAAAGCCCCACCAGTCTCCTTAGAGTCCTCTGGTCAGCAGGGCCAGCCAACCACAGGTACTAAGGAAATGGAGGAAATGTTGGGGGCAGGACTGTATTGCCAGAGCAGCTCTGCTGAGGCCAGCAGCCCCCACTGCGATTCCAGGTCCCACAGTCCTAGCTTCTCTGCTCCTTGGCACCACCTGGGTGGCGAGTAAATAGCTGCCTGGGCAGTCTCAGTCTTTGCTACTGGCATTCAGCCTATCCTGACTAAGAGGGCCTCCTCTGTGGCTGCAGTCAAGCTGCATAACCCCACTGAGGCAGGTAAGGATGTCCAGCCCTGTGCCAGGCACTTCCCGGGTAGAGGTGGGAGGCCTACCAGCCACTGCCCTGCAAGACTCCCACAGGCCAGAGCTGTGTCAGAATGACATTCAGCACTTGATGGTGCTACAAATCAACAGTGCCACTAGGGAGAGGTGGGGCAGTCCTGGAAACCTCTCTCGGGAGCGAAGGCTGGAACTGGATAAGTACTACGGGAGGAAGAGCACTGGGGAAGCTGCTATGTTGAAAGGGCAGGAACCCTGGGATTGGAGTCCAACTGAACTTGGACTCCAACCCAGCACTGTACTACTTCTTCAACTGTGAGACTGTTGACAGGTCACTTCCTTTCTGAGCCTCAGTTTGTATATCTAAAACTTATATACAGGTTGTATGTATTAAATGAGATTTGGTTAACAAAGTGCTGGAGAGTGTTAGGGATGACAATGAGAGGAAGAATATTAATTATTGTTTAACATTTTATATGTCCTAGCTGTGCTAGGATGATCTACCCAGGGACTTGGAAGGGGATGGCTCCCTGGGTGGAGTGGGAGGGGGGGCGGATGGTGGAGGACACAGCTGTGGCTTCTTATCCCAGCAGTACTCCTTGACCCAGGACACTCCTGGGAGTTGCTGACAGTGGTGGGTTATGTTCTTGGGCAGGGGGTCGAGAAGGGAGAGGGAGTTCAAGACAGGCAGGGAATGATGCTCAAGAAGGCTGTGACCAGGACATACAGGAGGCAGGGCGTGAGCAGCAGAGGTGAGGCAACATACATCCTTTCTGTTAACCCCATTCCTCCACCTGTTTCTCTTCCCCTTTCTGTTTCAGAAGTTGAGGCCAAAAAAGCGTGTGAGTGGTTCCGAGCGACAGGATTCCCTCAGTATGCTCAGCTTTTTGAAGGTAAGGCTACCCGGTTGCTCCCCCTCCCCATCCCCCAAAACTTTCCGTATCTCTCAGGTTTTTTTTTTTTCTTTAATAGACTTTATTTTTTAGAGCAGTTTTAGCTTTACAGAAAAATTATGCAGAAAGTACTCCCTCTCCTGCACACAATTTCCCCCTATTATTAACATCTTGCATTTTGTTTATTACAACTGATGAACCAATATTGATACATTATTATTAACTAAAATCCATAGTTTACATTAGGGTTCACTCCTTGTGTTATACAGACCTATGCATTTTGACAAATGCATAATGTCATGTATCCACCATTACAGTATCATACATATTAGTTTCACTGCCCTAAAAAGTCCCTGTGCTCCACCTATTCACCCGTCACCTCCTTCCCCTGAATCCCTGCAACCACTGTTTTTAGTGTCTCTGTAGTTTTGCCTTGTCCAGAGTGTCGTATAGTTGGAATCATACAGTATTAATGCCCAATTTTTCATCCATAAAATGGGACAAATCAGATCCTTTTTCCTACCACAGGAGCCCTGGTGGCGCAGTGGTTAAGGGCTTGGCTGCTAACCAAAAGGTTGGCAGTTTGAATCCACCAGGTGCTCCTTGGAAACCCTAAGGGGCAGTTCTACTCTGTCCTACGGGGTTGCTATGAGTCAGAATGAGCTCAACGGCAATGGGTTTTTGTTTGTTTGTTTGTTTTCTCCTATCACCCAAGAAGCTGTGTATCCTGGTCCTGCTCAAAAAATTCTCAGGGACTTTGGGTTTTTACTTACAACTGCTATTTCCTACATCATGTCTCTACTGGATCGGCTTCCACAAGCTCTAGTGTTTCCCACATTTTAAAGTACTTTCTCTTGACCGGGGTCACTGCTTTGTACAACTTCTGAGGATGCCATTTACATAGATACAATGTGAAGGGAGCCCCTTGGAATTGTGCACCCTGGCAGCCCTGCCTTGACCTGGCCTTCCCCACAGTGATGGCCTCATATCTGTTTCCTTCATTTTTCTTCTTTTCTTTAGAGCTTTTCATACTTGCTGTTTCCACTTCCCCTCTTCTTCTCACATCCCACTGCACCCTGGCTTTATCCATAGCTCGCCAATAAGACAGTCCTTGTCAAGCTCACTAGTGACGTCCACATGGTCAACATTCAGTGGTCACTTCCCAGTCCTCAGTCTCTCAACGGCACTCAGTGCAGTTAGCCACTCCTGCCTTTGGCTGCTGAAACAGCCCCCTCTCCTAGCTGCCAGTTGCCTCTCTGCCTGCTGCTTCTCAGTCTCCTTAGCTGACTCTACTTCTTCTAGCTGATGTCTAAATGTTGGAGTAGCCCAGGACTCAATCCTGGGCCCTCTTCTCTCTCAACGTTTCTTTCCCATGGGTTCCTCATTCAAGTGTCATCGAGATTCTGATGACTTCCAAATGTGTCCAGACCTCAGTTCAACCGCCAATTCAACATCTCTACTCAGATATCCAACAAGCATCTCAGGTTTAACATGTCTAAAACCAAACTCCTGATGGTTTCCTCCCCATAAACGTGCCCCTCCTCATATTCCCTGTTCTGGTAGATAGCACCACTGTCCACTCACTTGCTCAAGCCCCATAGCCAGGAATCACTCGCAGTTCCTCTTTTTCCCTCATCCCCACATACCTAACCCGACAGGAAGTGCCATCTCCCTTCAAAATAGATCTTTAAACTATCCACTTCTCACCACCTCCACTGCTACCCTCTGGTCATCACCGCTCACCTGGACTAGTGCACTAGGCTCCTGCCTAGCCTCCCTGCTTCCACTTTTGCCCTCCTATAGTCTGTTCTCTACACAGCAGCCAGAGGGATCCTGTTCACCATAGATGTGACTATGTCACTCCTCTGCTACAAACCCTCCAGTGGCTTCTCAGCATCCTCGGAATGAACTAAACCCAAATGCTTTACTCTAGCTGATGAGACTGCATTATCCACCTTGTATTTACTACTTTCTCCTTTGTTCTGTACGTTCCAGGCTCCTTTCTGCTATTTGTTCACACCAAGCTTTTCCCTCCTTGGAACCTTGATGTTAGCCCTGCCGGGAACTCTCTTTCCAGGCTCTTTGCATGACTGCCTCCTTCTTTTCCTTCAGAACTCAGCTCAGAAGTTACTTCCTCAGAAAGGCCTTCCCTGACTACCCTCCCTACAAGTAGCCCCACACTCTGTAGCCTCTTTTTACTCCAATCACCCTGGCTAATTTCCTTCATAGTGTTTATAACTGCATTATCTTGTTTGTTTAGTGCATTGTTTATTGTCTGTCTTTCCCATGAAAGTCTGAACTCTGTGAAGACAGGGATCATTTTATCACTTTTGTCTTGTTCACTGCCTTATCCCCACTGTCTTGCACAGTGTCCGGCACATGGTTGGTGCTTAATAAATATTAGTTGAATTAGTAAATGAATAAATGGGCTTGTTTAACCCAGTAAGGCAGAGTGGTGTGGGACTTTTGAATTCTCTCTCTCCTCTCCCCTCCCTAAATCCCAGGGAGTGGATTCCCACTGCTGTAGACAATAGAGGGAAGTGAGGTAGTCTTTGGCTGCACACTATCCCTTCTGTGCTCCCTCCCTTCCGCCCCAAGATGGGTAAGCCAAGGAGGAGGTTCCCTGTCTGAACAGTCCAGGATTTGAAGGGACTTAGGGATCCCAGGTTGGCTCTTGGCAGCCACCCAGGGTCTCAGGCCTGCCGTCATCCATGGATCTGCTTTGCTGACTGATGGGGTCTTCTCGTCCAGCTCAACCCTCCTCTTCTCTCCATGACGTTTGCCCAGACTGCCAACTGTGAGCTCTCTAGGTCCCCCTTCTTAGCTCTGGGCTTCTTTCCTTCTATTTGGCTCTTGGCTTCTTTCCTTCTGTTTGGCTCTTGGCTTCCTACTTCCCCTCTTCCCTGGCCTCCCCTTTCTAGCTCAAGGTATCCTGGGGCTGAGTTCCTGACCTACTTTCTTGGACTCATCTTCTGCTTCTCTCTGACATACAGAAGGTTCGTTCCCACTGGATATCGACTCTGTGAAGAAGGACCACAGTTTTCTGGATGAGGACTCTCTGGGGGCCCTGTGCAGGTAGGGGAGCCTCAGGCCTCAGGCTTGGCTTGGGGCTTCCTCATGGGAAAAAAAATCCCTTATACCCTCTAACAGAGGAGAAGCCCAGCATATTAACCAAGATCATCTTTTGCACTGACCTCACTCATTCTGTTTTCTGTCTGTGACACCCTTACCCAGTCACTTTAGCTAGAAAGCCAAGATCTGACCTTGATTCTTTTCTGCTTTAAGTTATATATGCCCCAAACATTCCTCTGATTTGTCCCATCTCAACTCATACCACCTTTGCCTTTGTTTGAGGCCAAACAATGACTTCTTCTTGGATCTGTTACAGTAGCCTCCTAACTGGCTTTCCTGCCTCCAGTCTGTGCATTCTCTCTCCCCTCCCCCATCCATCCTCTCTACACAGCCACCAAAGTCAGCCTTGTAAAGCTCCAAGCAGGCTCTCTTCTGCTTAAAAATTGTCACTGGCTCCCTACTGCTTACAGGGGAAAGTCCAAAGTTTTTTAACAGGACACCCAAGGGCCTTTGTACTCTGGCTTTGATCTATTTTATCAGCCTCAATCGCACCCTTCTTACACTCACACTGGTCTGTTTACTGACCATTTCCCTCCATACCTTGTTACAGTCTCCTGTCTAAGTCTGGGATAAGAGTTTATCCTTCAAAATCCCACTTCTGCCCTTTAGGAAGCCTTCTCTGACTATACTCCTCTTCCTTCATGGAAATTACTTGTCTCATCCTCTGTGTCTCCTTTGTGCCTCCTGTTTACTCTGTTCTTGAACCAGTCCCATCTCCGTAGTGGTTTGCTTCCACATCCATAATATCTTTGAGGAAAGAGACCATACTCTTCCCAGCATTGTGTCTGGCACTTCAGTCTTCAAGAACACAGGGGCTTGGATAAGTTTTGATGGCTTGGACATGTGAAGTGGTGGCTAGATTTTTTCCATCTTGGGAGTATCTTGGTAGACCATTCCAGGCTTTGGGGGTTGGGACCCTTGGATAAATACTGCTTTGTCTTTTTGCAGGAGGCTGATGACCTTGAACAATTATGCCTCGATGAAACTGGACGTTCACTTTCAGTGCAAGCAGGTGAATCATGGCAAGGGTGGGATCTGTGGGAACCATGCGGAACCCAGTACATACACAAGCCTCTTGTGAAACTAGTTCCAATACACGAGGAGTCTGGAGAGTCCGGAGTAATACCTTCCTCCAACCTGGGGGTGAGGATGTAGGGGGCTCCATGTGACCACTGGATTTTGTGGAGCCTGGACTAGAGGCTGGAGTGTAGAAGCAAATACCCTGGCCCATGGCATCACTCACCCCCCATTAGCCCACCTCTCCCTCCTAGGTTTACCAGTAACTTGACCTGTTGGTGGCCTCTTCCTCAGGGAAATCCATTTGCCTCCACTACTTGCTCTATAATGGCTAAAATTCCTCAAATAGGGGGCAGAAACAGAATAATGTAGTGGAAAGATGATGGTCTTAGAAGTCAGGATCCCCATTCTCACCCCCACAAGGTCTTTCCCCTCTCAACCACAATTTCTCCATCTCTACAATGAATTGGGAGGAATTAATAGCCTCCAAAGGCCTTTCCAACTCTGCTAGTTTTGGGAGAGCAGAAATTGAGAGGACTCTTGGTCTGTACATAGCCCTGGAATGAAGGTCATGACCCTATTCCTTCCCTGAAGACAGGCTTTGTTAGTTTCCTCTGGGGCTTTTTCCACCAGAGACCTGCAGCCAGTGGGGCAGGCAAGTTGACAAAGCCCTGACCTGGGAAGCAGGAGACCCCTTGTGCCTGGTCCTAACTCTTCCACTGACTTCTGATTGATCTTGAGCAAGCCTCTTCTACTCTCTGGGCCTCAGTTTTCCCACCTTGCAAAGGAGGAGATAAATTAGAAAATCTAAAATTTCCTTCCAGTTCTAGCACTCTGTGGTTCTTGTGTAAGACTACAGCCTAGAAACTAAGGAGGCTACTGAGGGCAGAAGGTCAAGAGGCCTGGGTCCTAGTCCTAGCTCTAACTTATTGCATGTCATTGTATGACCTTGGTCACGTCCCTTCTCATTTGTACGTCTCAGTTTCCCTACCTGTAAAATGGTAGGGGTAGACTAATTACATGATCATTAACATTCATCTAGTCTCCGTCTATGACTACTGGCTTCCTCTGGCATCCCCAGAGCCAGATCATTTCCTCAACCAGAAAGTGAGGCCCTTAGCTCAGAGCTCCCCAAGAGTTTGGAGGCAGATTAAAGCACAAGCAAGGGCTTGTGGGCTGGGCTCTTCTGACCCTACCCTGTGGCACCTTCCCCAGAATGAAGACTCAGAAGAAGAAGAGCACTGTACCATCAGCAGCCGCTGGGCCTTCCAGCAGGAAAGCAAGCGCTGCTCTCTTGTGGGACCCTCTCACCTTCTGGCCCCACCAAACCCTGGCCTGCCAGTGACCTCAAGCTGTGAGAGTGTCCTCACTGAGCTTAGTGCCATATCCCTGCCAGCCATCACTGCGAGCCTGCCACCTGAGCCAGTGGACCTACCCTTGCTAGACTGTACCCCAAGTCAAAGTGACCAGCCCTTTCTCAGCCCCACCCAGGATCAGGAAGGTCCTCAGAACAAAGCCAAGAAGCACAGTTCCAGTTGCTTCTTCAAGCACCTCGAGTCTCTAAGGAAGAAGGAAAAGGGTGGCAGCTGGCAAGCAGAGCCCAAGCGTAACCCAGCCACCTCGAAGAAGCCTACCAAAGCCTCATCTTTCCATAGTTGCCATGGCTTTCTCTCAACTGGATTCTACAGGGCCAAAAACCAGACAGCCACCTCAGCCTTTGGTGGTAGCTCTGAGACTCAGAGGGCCTGGCCTGTGACCACATTCCAGCATCTTCAGCAGGTACATCGGAGTGACTGCTTGGTGCATGTGCCTGGGGACCACAAACCAGGCACATTCCCTCGCTCCCTGTCCATTGAGACCCTGTGTCCTGAAGATGAATACCACCTGGCAGATTGGCAGCCAGGTAGGCACTGGGGCTACAAAGGGCGCCGGGGCTCCTGTGGCTCAACAGGCAGCCATGCCAGCGCCTATGACAACTTGCCAGAGCTGTACCGAGCTGAGTCTATACTGGTTGGGGCTGAGGCTGAAGATGAAGAGGAAAATGAGGGCAGCTATGCCCACCTAGATGATATCCTCCAGCATGTATGGGGGCTGCAGCAGCAGGTAGATCTCTGGTCTCAGGCCATGTGCTTGGACCTGGGTCCTGGCAAGAAGGAAGAGGAAGAAGATGAGGAAGAAGAGGAGGAGGCCATTTCATCAGTGGAAATAGCCACAGTTAAGGTTGAAGATCAGGGTGAAGCTCTGGCCCAGGCAGAGGCTCCAGCTCACAGGGACTTCCCAGCCCAGGTCCAGTCCGACATCCAGACAATAGTCCCAGCTCATGGTCAGGCCTCAGCCTTGGCTGAGACCCTGGCACAGGCAGTGGCCAAGGCCCAGACCCCAGCCCAGGACAATGAGCAGGAGATAAATTCAGGCAAGGAACCCACCTCGGCTTCTAGCCTGTCTGTGAAAGAAGGACACTCCGTTTCTGATACTGTGGCCTCCTCCAGTGAACTTAAGAGTATCGAGAACTCCATGAATGAGGCTGAGGCAGCAGAGTCCACGGCTGGGCTCCAGGCATCAGAGCCCCGTGAACGGCGTGATTCAGGAGTTGGGGCCTCACTTACCAGACCCTGCAGGTGGGAGTTTAGGGTAGGGGTTGGGGCAGGGGCCTCTGTTGTCTCTCTTTCTCTCAGGGAAGCAGATTTCTTAGTCATGAGGCCCAGGGGCAGGCTGGGTGATTACCTTCAGGTAGCCAGTCCCAGGAGAGAAGTAGAAAGAACACAGGACTCAGGAATTCAGAGAGTTAGGTCCAGGACATGCCACTGCTGTGACCTTGAGCAAATTATGGCCCCTGTTTGGGTCTCAGTTTCCCTATCTGTAAACTGAAGGTGTTAGAGGAGGTGGTCTCTGATCCCTAGTTTTGCCCTTCTGGGTTTCCTGGAGCAGTCCCCCACAGCAGTCTTGGAATAGGTTGGGGGCTGGTACTGCTTATTGGCACTAGATTGGACTGAGCTCTGTGCCATCTTCCCTGAGAGCTTCTTGGCTTCTGGGTCAATCTAGAAGCTGAGACTAAGCTTTTTCTATCTTGAGGCCCAGTAGTAGCAGTGAGAGTAGTCTCACCTCCCTGTATTTCCTTTCTTTTGGGAGAAAAAAAAGGGACTAGAAAAACACAACCTTTGCTAAGTTTTGCCCATACCTGCTCCTCTGGCCTTCCCCTGTCCACATTTGCCAGGAAGCTTCGTTGGCACAGCTTCCAGAACTCCCACCGTCCCAGCCTTAACTCGGAGTCACTGGAGATCAACCGCCAGTTTGCAGGCCAAATCAACCTCCTGCACAAGGGCTCACTGCTGCGGCTCACTGCCTTCATGGAGAAGTACACTGTGCCCCACAAGCAGGGCTGGGTCTGGTGAGTGGCTCTTGGGCCACGGTGGGCAGAGAGCTGCCAACTCAGGTCCTGGGCCCCTGCCTGCCCCCACCCCACGGCCCTGGGAGGGTCTGCCCCAGACAGTGGGTACAGGCAGCTGGAACCCACAAGCCAGCAGAGTGGTGTGATGCTAGGAGGCTGGAGGTGCCATAGCCCGAGAGGTCAGCGTGCCTCTGAGTGGCTTGTGCATATCTGTGGGGGATGCACGTGGAATACACACGTGTGTGTGTGCCACATGTGAGAATGGTGTGTCGGGGGGACCCAAGGTCCTCCAACTGTACCTTTTCCACTCTGCCCTCCATGCTGCCGCCGGCGAGAGTGTGCTACAGTGCAGATTTATTTGTCACTCTACTGATAAACTCCCTTCTGTGGCTCCTCACGGCTAAAGACTAAAGTCCACATTCCTTCCCATCATAATCGTCTCATGTTCTGGCCCTGCTCCATTTTTCTGGCTTTGTAGTCTGCCATTCCCCAGCAGCACCACCTTACAGGCCAGTGGGACTAGTCACACTTCCCTGAATGTGCCCTGCCATTTGTCCTGCCTCTTTGCCTTTGTTTGTACTGTTCTTCCTACCTTTTCCCCATTTCTCCTCTGGGACAACACACCTACCTATTCCTCAAGAGCCTACTGAGTTACCACCTCCTCTCTGAATCCTTCCCTGACCTGATAAGGTACAGTTCCCCTCCCTCATGCATCTGTCCCTAAGTCCTTGGCCTACTACTAGCCACATGCATTGTCACTACCTGCTGACACAATGATCTCCTTGACCAGACTGAGAGCTCCCTGTGTTCTTCTGTGACTCTCTAGGGCTAGTACCAAAGCAGGTGCTCAGTGAGTGTGTTGAGTCCGGGGATATGGCATGTTTCTTGCTCTGCTCACTCCTCCTCAGCCCCCCAAGACTAAAGCCAGCTGCTCCAAACTGTCTAGGTCTATCCCATCCCCCTTCCTGACCACTTGTCACTCCCCTAAATAGGTCAATGCCCAAGTTCATGAAAAGGAGCAAGACCCCAGACTATCGGGGCCAGCATGTGTTTGGAGTGCCACCCCTTGTCCACATGCAGCGCACAGGTCAGCCATTGCCACAGAGCATTCAACAAGCCATGCGCTACTTGCGCAGTAAGTGCCTGGACCAGGTAAGTCCTCCTGGGGGAGCCTGCAGAGAGATGGCACTAAGGGGAGGGCACTAAGGAGTTGGGGAAGGGAACTGCTCTGCCCTTCTGGCTGGGTCAGGATGTTCCACCAGGGACCTTTCCTATCTGAGGAAGGGCCAGAAAGGATGGAGCCAAAGCTCCCTTCCGCTCCTTAGTGCTGCAGCCTTCTGGCCTAGGCTCTGTAGTTCCTATCTTCTAGGAGCCTGCCTTAGCCTAGGTCCACCTTTTCCTACCTCATTTGCACAAAAGCCATCTTTTTCTTTGGCCCTGAGGCTATGAAAACCCTTCTCTTTGGTTTTGCCATTTCTCTCCTACCCTGCCCAGCAGGAAGCCTGCCAGGCTTGGAAGTCTCTGGAGTGGCCTACACTCCTGACACCCAGTCCAGGGCTGGCCTCACAGTCTCCTCCTTTCCCCTGCCCGCATCTCTTCCTTCTCACTCCCTCCCCTGCATGGGCCAGGTGGGCATCTTCCGCAAGTCTGGGGTGAAGTCCAGGATCCAGAACCTGCGTCAAATGAATGAGACCTCCCCGGACAATGTCTGCTATGAGGGTCAGTCGGCCTATGATGTAGCTGACCTGCTGAAGCAGTATTTCCGGGACCTGCCTGAGCCCATCTTCACTAGCAAGCTCACAACCACTTTCCTGCAGATCTACCAAAGTGAGTCACCTGCACCAATCTCCAACAACCGACCCCATTCTCCATCTCCCTGAATCCCAGGGCTGGTGGAAGATAAACCTGGCATGGGCAAGTGCAGCCAGGCCTGTGAGCTCATGAGAACATTTACTGTCTGGAGTTGGAGAGATTCTTGGAGAGAAATCGCATTGTACTTCCCCAAACCCATTGTATGGAAGGGTAGACTGAGGTCCTGAGGAAGAAGAACTTATATAAGGTTACACTGCAAGTTAGCAGCAGAGTTCGATCTAGTGCCCAAGGCTCTGACCTCCCAGAGTAGACATTTTACCTTTCTTCTCACTGTCTCCCCTGGGAACCAGTGAGCCCCTCATTTTCCTAAAAGCAGGAGGCTTGTTTCTGGAGCCTCAGAGGAATAAGGAAGGCTCTCTGCCATTCCCTCCTCACAGTCCTCCCCAAGGATCAATGGCTGGCAGCAGCACAAGCTGCCACCTTGCTGCTGCCTGATGAGAACCGAGAGGTGCTACAGACCCTGCTCTACTTCCTGAGTGACATTGCCTTGGCAGAGGAAAACCAAATGACGGCCGGCAACCTGGCAGTGTGCCTGGCACCCTCCATCTTCCACCTCAATGTCTCCAAGAAGGATAGCACCTCGCCCAGGTGAAACAGGGAAGGGCATGTCAGGGCCAGGCAGGGAGGGGTTGGGCCCCAGAGGACTTTTGGATCTTGACAGCTGGCACTGAACTTCCCAGGCATCACCACAGAGGTCAGCCAGACTCCCCAGGGCTCAGGGACTGGCAGAAGCTGTGGAACAGGGCCTTCTAAAAGACTGCAGGTTTTTTTGTGGTCAGGCCTGGAAAGCTGGCTTCCTGGGAACAGGAAACCAGTCCGTTAGCCAACTCCTCTTGTGCCCTTGTGCCACCCCCTCCCTCCCAATCCTTCTATCCAGGATCAAAAGCAAACGCAGGCTCGTTGGCCGGCCAGGCCCTAGGGACCTGAGTGAGAATATGGCTGCCACCCAGGGCCTATCACACATGATCAGTGACTGCAAGAAACTTTTCCAGGTGAGTGAGTAACTCCAGGCCATGGTGTCTGCTTACTCAGACCTAATGGGGCTATCAGGCCTGACTTTGCACCTCAAGTCAGGAATAGGGCCCGGCTTATCACATACTCTTCAACCCCTTACTTCCAACTCTTCCCACAAGATTTTCCACCTACCTCACTGCAGTAGCCAGGCCTCTCCACTGCCCTTAACATGAACTTGACAGAGACCTCGTGGGCTCTAGGACTGAAGAAGCCTGACCCTCTCCTGCTCCCCAAAGCCCCCAGCCTGGTGTGTCTGTACACTCCCAGGTGCCCCAAGACATGGTGTTGCAGCTGTGTGGCTCCTACTCTGCAGCTGAGCTCAGCCCTCCTGGACCAGCCCTGGCTGAGCTGCAGCGGGCTCAAGCCTCTGGATTGAGCCTGAGTCTCTACATGGAGGAGAGTGTTCAGGAGCTGCTGCGTGATGCTGCTGAACGCTTCAAGGGCTGGATGAATGTGCCAGGGCCCCAGCACACCGAGCTGGCTTGCAGGAAGGTGAGCACCACAGTACCTGTGGTTGGTATGGGGCTGGGATATAGCATGGTGAAGGGGAAGGGGGCCAAAGAACCCAAAGGCAGGAGACAGGAAGGAGTTATCCACCAGTGTCGCTGTGCCTGATACTTGGAGAATGTCAGCCAGCAGAGCAAGTCCCTTAAGGAATCAAGAACCAAATTAAAGCAAGGTATCTCTCTCAGGGACCACCTGCCAAAGCCCACTCTAGACATGACCCTACTTTTCTAGCCTCAACTCTCATCTCGCCCTGAACTACAGTCAAGCTGAACTCCTCATACTTCCACTTGTGTGCTTCTGCTTAGGCTGTTCCTGCTGCCTGGAATGACCACCCCCCAGGCATTACACTTTAAGCCCAAACTTAATATACCCCTCCTCCATTTAGAGCCTTCTGGCATGCCCCAGGCTGGAGGTAATTTCTCTGTCTCTCTCCTGGCACTAGCCATGTGCTTTCTCAGGTTCTGATTGTTAGTAACATTGTGAGCCTTGAAGTTTTCCATGTATAAAATGGTCCTACTATAACCTACCTTATAGGATCAGGGTGAGAACTTCACACAGTGCCTGGCATATACAAAAGCCTCAATAAACGGCAACTTTTCTTGTTGTACAAGTGTTTTACTTTCCACATTAGATGGTGAGTTCCTTGAGGATGATCACCATCTTATCTTTCTGCCTACTTCCAGAAATTCCAAGCACTGGGCCTATTTCATGGTAGGGCCTAATAGGTCTCTGAGAATGTATCCCATCAACTCTGTGCTCTTTAGTAGGCTGGAAAGCAGACATCCAGAGAGGAGAGAGAGGAGAAGGAATGGGGATGGCACCTGTCCTCATCCGGAGAGTGTCAGCAGAGTGGCCCTGCAGCCTTCTCTTGTCAGGGCTGGAGTGAGAGGAGCACCAAGCCCTACAGTTTGAGGCATGGACTGGGGGATGGAGTTGGAATTTTCCAGCCCTGACAGCTACCCCCTGCCCCCACCTTTGTGGCCTCCAGGCACCAGACGGACACCCCCTTCGTATGTGGAAGGCGTCCACAGAGGTGGCGGCCCCTCCAGCTGTGGTGCTACATCGTGTTCTAAGGGAGCGGGCCCTTTGGGACGAGGACCTGCTGCGGGCCCAGGTTCTGGAAACCCTGATGCCGGGTGTGGAGCTGTACCACTACGTCACTGATAGCATGGCACCCCACCCCTGCCGTGACTTTGTGGTAGTCCGGTGAGAGACTGCAGCTGCCACCCTGATGTGCTCTGTTGCTTGCTTGGGGGACTGGGGAAGTGGGGTGGGGACCAGCACCAGGAATCTAAATGTGTGTGTCCCTTCCACACAGGATGTGGCGCTCAGACCTGCCTCGTGGAGGTTGTCTGCTTATCTCCCAGTCGCTGGATCCTGAGCAGCCTGTACCAGAATCAGGGGTGCGGGCCCTGATGCTCACTTCGCAGTACCTCATGGAGCCTTGCGGCCTGGGCCACTCTCGGCTCACTCACGTCTGCCGTGCTGACCTCAGGTACCAGACCCAGATTGCCTGCACTCCTCCCTTAGCCTTAGCCCCCTCACTTGCGTCTCCCACTGCCCTTCTACACCCCCTCCCCCATGCCTTTGATCCCTGGGGGCTTGGGAAAAGTCTTCATTCCTTCCTCCTGGTGAGGACTCTAGGGGAGTACACATTGCTCATGTCTGGCTGCTTCTACTTCTTCAGGGGCCGTTCTCCTGACTGGTACAACAAAGTCTTTGGGCACCTGTGTGCCATGGAAGTGGCAAAGATCCGGGACTCCTTCCCTACCCTGCAGGCAGGTGGCCCTGAGACAAAGCTGTGAGCCCCAGGCTGGTCCCAGGGTGGCACCACCCAGGCCCCCTGGCACCAAAGGAGTAAGGAGAGAATAAGAGCAGGACAGGCCCCTGGGTGCTGTTGCCAGCGGCGGAGCCAGGTCCAGCTTTGGCTCCAGCTGCCTGTCACCTTTACTTCCTAAAGCTCCTCTGCACATACAAGGGAGAAGAGAACTTGGGTGTCCTATTTCCACTCCACGTTCACCCCAACTCCCTGTGTTCTACCCTTCCAAGAGAGGGGAATCGTTTTAGTAGCCAGAAAACTGCTGCCTTCTACCTGCCCATAAAGCCACCACTCAATCTGAAGAGTTAGCATCTCCCCCAACTACAGGGGGAAGGCGGTAAAAAGCAATGTGTGGTCCCAGCTCTCTGCTAGACTAGAGGCTAAACCATCCTGTTGGGGTGCCAGGGTGCCTTTGAGGTTAGACAGAAGGTTCTGGTCCTGCCTTTAAGCCGAACATTGACCCCGAACTTGTTTTCTAGAGAAATTGGACTTGAGCAAATGGGCACAGGGGCAGCCTCAACCACCATGAGCTATTTTATTTGTGCAAATACGATGCTGATTGTTATGAGGCTGATTTAAAGAGTGGGTACTGATGGGCTCCTAGTAGGCAATATGATGATTTGGGATAGCTTGGGATGTGAGAGGGGAAGAAGGACTTTCCTTCCTCAGGTCTCATGAGACCAATGAACCAGCCTCCCTGCTTGGGCCCCACAATTTATCTGCCACTCCCTAAGGTCCTGGCTAGCCTTTGGCCACACACTGCAAGCTCAGATGCTTGAGTGGGCTCAAAGGCATGAGAGCTGCATCACTACAGCCCAAGGTGCACACCTTCTGGCAGTCTCTCCCTCGTCAGTAGTCCTGCTGTGAGAGACCGTGGAGAGGGCTTGGTGGGCTGAATGGACAGGCTTCCACAGCCTGAGACTGCTCAGCCCCTGGGCCAACTTCCCAAAACCCAAACGTCAATCTGGGGACAGCACAGTCCTAGCAAAAACAAATAGTGGCAAAAGCAGATACAGGCAAGGAAACAAGTGTCTGTGTTCATGTCCTTTTTCCTCTTCTTTCTGTTGGCTGTAGCATGCTAACAGCCCCTGTCTTCTCAAGCAGAGGCCTGGCCTCCTGGCCAGACAGCCAGCTAGACAGATGGAAGGGCCTAGTATCATCTTAAGCAGCTGGCACTTGCTCCAAACCTGATCTGTTCCACCCACTCATCTTCAGTCTTGGTTCATATGGAAATTCAAATGCCATTCAAACACCAACTGGTGCTTATTTTTCTTTCAGCTGAGTAAACTGGAGTGGGATGGGTCCTAGACTCCCTTCTAATTCTAAATTTTAAGCCTGTCTATTTGTATCTATAAATACTGTACAGTCAAAATATACTATCATGAGTGTATTATAACTTCTGGTGGGGTCAGGGCTCTGGAAAGCCTGGGTAGGGGGTGGTGCAGTGTACTTAGATAAACCAAGAGAGGCAGAGAACAGGGTACAGCATGATCCCTCAGCAGAACAATAAAGCATTATTCTGACTGTGTGGCTGTCTTTTTGCTGCAACAAGGACCTAGCAACTGGGGCCCGGGTGGAGGGATTGGGGCATGCAACTCAGGCTCAGTGTTTGGGGTCAGAGGTCGTGAGCATTCACTTCACCCTCTCCTGAGTCTCAATTTACTGGCATCAGGCCTCAGGGTAAGGCTACAAGAGGAATGGAGAAGGGCCTCAGCTCTTCTCTTTGGAGGTGATGGGGTGGAGGGGAGGCAGGGTTAAGAGAATCCAGGGCTTGGGAGCAGGTGAAAACTCCATCCTAGAGGGCCTCCAATATGAATGGCCCACCAGCATCACCTCAGACACGCTTACAGTAGCCCCAGAATGAGATGACCCGGGCTGTGCTCTCTTTCCTTCACCTTTTACACATAGCACAAGCTGAAGGATGAAGAGTGGGGACACAACCCCAGGAGGCTTGGGGGCTCTGTTCCACCCATAAACCAACTGAGAGAGGTCTGAGTACCTTGAGGCAGTCCCTGGTCTAGCTCTAGTGACCAGGAAATCCCAGGAGGCTAGAGGGGCCCATTCATGTTGACTTCCCCAAAAGAAGGGACTTTCCTTAGCTGTAGTGACTGTTGCAGTGACTTTAAATTCCTAACCTCAGAGGGGCAGCTAGAGAGTACAAGCTTTGGAAGCAAATCTGTGTTTGAATTCCTCAAGTGCTACTGAGTAGTCTGAGGCAAGCAAACCATGCCCTCACTCTGAACCTTCATCTCTTCATAAGTAAACCTAGGCCAAGGATACCTAGTTACAAGCCTTGCTCACTAAGTGTTCAGGTCTGTCTCCCACAATCTGCACCACCACCCAGCCCCAACAGGTTGAATGCCTGTCAAGTCCCACTTCTCTGTCAACTTTTATTTTCTCCTTGTGGGTTCATTCATCACCACACATCTTTGACTTTTCCTCACTGTTGCTCCCTGTGGGTCTTGGCTGACTGTGGAATGGAGGGAGGTGGAGGAGGGGGCCATTTAGCCCCTTGCCTTTTGAAGAAGCAGTTGGCACCTACCCAGGTTGTAGGTGTGAGTGTGTGATCACTCAAGTGGCCTGTACAGAGGGGGCAAAATTCAAAGAGGCTCTTGGGGATACGTTATATGAAATAACCAGAATCAGTTATCTAGGGCCATTATAGGCATTGGGAAAAATATGATTTCCTTTAGGCTTTTGAGAAAAAAAAAGCTCAGAACAATCCATGCTGGCAGCTTCTGGCTTGACCCTACCATCTGCTGCCCTGAACCCAGAAAGAAGAGAAAGTGGGTGATCACGTACAGCCCACCAAGCAGAGGAGTTACTTGAACTTTACGTGAAGTTGGCCTCCCTCCCCCTCACCTGCTCTCAGTGGGGCTGTTTGGATTGGAATGTGGGTTCTGAGGGGCCTCAGACTTGGTTGGAGGCTCCCACAGAGGAAGAAGAGGGCACAGAAAGACGAAGCAGGGGCCTGGGAGCAGTAGTGGGCCTGCTGCGGGCTGTGGGAGTGGGAACATAGATATCAGGTTGGGGGTGGCCTGTAGGATGAAAAGATGGCACCTGCATTACTCCTTGGGTAATAATGCGAAAAAGCTCACATACCATGTGCTACCTTTGCAACTCCCAGGAGTTCAGGAAACCCAAGATAGGACCCATCACATCAGGAGAGTATGGGGTGGTGATTAACACAATGAGCTCTCGAGCCAGACTGCCTGGATTCAAATCCCAGCGCCGCCACTTACTATCTCTGTGACCTAATTTTATCATCCAAAATGATCATATAGCTAATAACCCAGGCTGCCTGGTACCAGAGTTTGTGCTCATAACTCCACTAGTGGTTCTCAAACTGTAGTGAGCATCGGTGTTTCCCAGAGAGCCTGTTAAAAGATGGATTGCTAGGCACCACCCCCAGAGTTTCAGAATCAGTAGGTTTAGGGTGAAGCCTGAGAATTTGCATTTCTAACAAGTTCCCAGGTTATGCTGATGCTGCTGATTTGGACACCACACTTTGAAAACCATTGATCCATAAAATGAGTATGATGATGATACATGTTTCATTCAACTGAAATCAAGGAAGATGTTTGAACTCTCCCTTAGTCCCGTAGGAAGCACAGTCCCTGAAGACCGGGAACTCAAGGACTCAAAGGCATTGCCTCTTGCTAGCTAGGTGGTTTACTTACCCTCTCTGAGCCTCTGTTTCCTCATCTTTAAAATGGGGAAAATAGGAGGTGGAGCCAAGATGACAAAGTAGTCAGACACTTCAGGTGGTCCTTCCTACAACAAAGACCTGAAAAAACAAGTGAATCAATTATATATGACAATCTAGGAGCCCTGATCATCAAAGGCAAAGCTGAGGAATTGGACTGAGTGGCAGGGGAGGGAGAGACGGTTCAGAAGCAGCGAGGAGATGCCAGACCTCACACGGCAGGAACTGGAGCCCTTCAGGCCAGATCAGCTCTTGCTGCGTAGTGAGGAAAGCAGTGGCGCTCCGGAGGTGTTTTCCACATTGGGAGAGACCCAGCAGCAGTAGAGAGTCTACTTGGCCATCCAGAACCAGCGAGAAGCAGCCCTTGATCTGCAAAAGATAAGTACTTGCATCTGGCCTACTGTGCAGATCAAAAATACCCCCCTTAGGGAAAAACTTCTCTCCCATTTACCTCCCTGCTCCCTGCTCTGCACTGGGTCCAGGATGGCTTCAGTGACTGCCAAGTCCCCTGGGCCGGAAGTAGGACCTGTCACCAGCCCTGAGCCATTCTCCTGGCCTTGGAGAGGGAATAAATTAACAAACTGGGGAAAAACTAATCTGCCGGCTCTCCTAAGCCAGGAACTCAGGGCAGGCACAGCTCCTTTGCCTAGGCACAGGCACAAGGGGTCCACGGACTTTGAGTGCCTTTCCCCCTACATAGACTTGTGTGGGCCCATTTCAACAGCACAGGCCCTCATTACCACAGTACAACAGGGTATATACCTGAAGTCTAACTTCAACTGTTTCAGCTGTGAAGTGGCAGGTTTGTGACACTTGACACTGCTCTGCCAATTAAGCAGGGTCTTCACCTACCCACATCAGGGGCCTGAGATCTGGTGACTCCACCCACACCACCTAGCCACCTGCGACAGGGGCCCAAGAATAAGAAGTGCCCCCCAGTCCTTACAGCACTGGGTGCTCATTGTCCAGCTGCAAAACCCACCCACCTGCGTGCTCTAGGGCACAGGGATACGCTTTCCTCCTGGATACTCTGGGGTGGCTTTCGGCCCCCTGCGTTTCTCAGCATGTGACCCCCTCCTGCAGCCAGATTCCTGTGTGTATTAGTTATCTAGTGCTGATATAACAGAAATACCACAAGTGGATGGTTTTAATAAAGAGAAGTTTATTTCCTTACAGTAAAGTACGCTAAAAGTCCAAATTCAGGGTGTCAGCTCCAGGGGAAGGCTTTCTCTCTCCGTCAGCCTTCTCATCATTGTTCCCCCAGACCAGGAGCTTCTCCGTGCAGGGACCCTGGGTCCAAAGGACACGCTGTGCTCCTGGCACTGCTTTCTTGATGGTATGATGTCCCCCTGTCTCACTGCTCTTCTTCTGTCTTTTATATCTCAAGAGACTGCCTCAGGACACGATCCAGTCTTGTAAATTGAGTCCTGCCTCACACACACAACTGCCACCAATCCTCCCTCATTAACATTATAGAGGCAGGATTTACCACACATGGGAAAATCACACAACACTGGGAGTCATGGCCCAGCCAAATTGATACACACATTTTTGGGGGGACAGAATTCAATCCATGACACTGTGCCTACACCAATCACCCATGCCTGTCTAGGACTCTAGGAGAGAGCCTGCACCACACACTTGGTGGCTGACTACCTGGACACCTGAGCTGAATCCATACAGGAGGAATGGGCAGACTCCTGGGTTCACATACCTAGTGGCAAGTCTGGCCAACTGGTTGCAGGATGTTGGAGCTTCAGGGGTGCTGGTGATCAGGTTAGCTCACACAAGCAGCCTATTTGGGCATATCAAAACAAGAAACTAGGGCACAGTAAACAAACATAAAATAAATATAATAACTTATTGTTGGCTTGGAGACAACAGTCAATATCAAATCACATAAAGAGGCAGACCATGATGGCTTCAGCAAGCTCCCAAAATAAAGAATCAAGAAATTTTCTGGAGAAAGAGAAGTTATTGGAATTACCAGAGACAGAATACAAAAGATTCGTATACAGAACTCTTCAAGAAATCAGGAAGGAGATCAGGCACAATGCAGACCAAGAAATATAGGAATTTAAGAAGATGAGAGAAGAGCATAATGACAAATTTAACAGGTGGCAGGAATCCATAGAGAGACAGCAATAAAAAATGCAGAAGATTAACAATAAAATTCCAGAATTAGACAACTCAATAGAAAGTCATAGGAGCAGAATTGAGGCAAAGGAAGTCAGAATTAGCAAGATTGAAGATAAAGCACTTGACACTAACTTGTTTGAGGAAAAATCAGATAAAAAGATTAAAAAAAATAAAGAAACCCTAAGAATTATGTGGGATTCTATCAAGAGGAATAACCTAAGAGTGATTGGAGTACCAGAATGGGGAGGTGGGGGGGGGGGGAAATAACAGAAAATACAGAGAGAATTGTTGAAGATTTGCTGGCAGAAAACTTCCGTGATATTGTGAAAGATGAGAAGATATCTATCCAAGATGTTCATAGAACCCCACATGAGGTAGACCCCAAAAGAAAGTCACCAAGACGTATTATAATCAAACTTGCCAAAACCAAAAATAAAGGAAGAATTTTAAGAGCGGCTAGGGATAAATGAATAGTCATCTACAAAGGAGAGTCAATAAGAATAAGCTCAGACTACCCAGCAGAAACCATGCAGGCAAGAAGGCAATGGGATGACATATATAAAGTCTTGAAGGAAAAAAATTGCCAGCCAAGAATTATATATCCAGCAA